CTTAGGCGCCGGCCGAAGGCAAATTCCACACTATTTTTGGGGTCCCATTCTCCAGCTCCGAGGCCCAGGGTGCACCAGGTGGGAGGGACCCGTTGTGCCGTTGCAGTTGGGGGCTCCTGCTGGACGACTGAGTCGGGTCTTGGGGCCCTGGGGGAGCATTGGATGGGGCTTCTTGGTCTCACTCTCGGGGTCCTCTTTGCTGGGCGAGAATAAAGCTGCTGAGTGGTGAGAATGGGTGAAGGGCGGAGACGAGAGAGCGCAGGCATTGCCGTCATTGGGTCGCGTTTTAAAATAAGAGGGAGGTCTGGGGGGTCTGGGGAGGGGCTCTTCGGCCTTGAGCGGTTCTCAACACGAACTTGTCGTACTCGCCCGTTGACAGTTCTACCTGTTAGCGAATCGAGTGAATTGGCCGCTTACTATCCGTAGATAACTGTTTCCTTTCAAGGTTGAGTGGGCTCGTAAATCCTCCCTCGTGTTCATAGTCTGCATACGACCTGTTTCCATAAAATAATTCACTTCGTATCCGTTTTAATTCCTGACCACCACCTCGCTCCAGCCCAACACGGGCTGGCCCGCTGGCATCAATTCTTCAGCTGCTAATACTGCAGCAAGAGGTACTGGGTAGAAGCAACTTTGTAAGGTCGGTCGCCGGTCGTCTATGGAGTCGTGGTCGCGCCTAGCAAATCGCACGTGTAGGTCACAGATCAAATGCAATGCAATACGCAGTCTCATGTACCCCTTGATTTCACGGATTTGCATACACATCGGACAATTCAAGGTTCAGAGTTCAGACGCTACTTACATGATGATGTGCAGCCCTTAAGTTTCAGACATGGGACGAATCTATCAAGCTGTCCGAACCTTAGCCTACTTGAGCAGCAGCGTCCTTGGCGAGCCGCAACTTGGCCATCCCATCTCAAAAGGTACCTTACACTGCGGTAAGCGTGTGGGTGACAAAATAAGATGTCTGGGCCGGTCAACAGACAAGGAGCCGCATTCTCAAAGTCATTGTTGCTATCATAGTTGCCATGCGCTGTCTAAATCGTGTTCAGTGAGAAAGACATGAGAAATGTGAAGCAATCATAGCAGCAGTGGCAATAAGTAGAAACAAGGCCGAGGAAAGTTTTGACCATGTGTCTTGTAGATTTCCTCCGAGAACTTAGGAAGGCACTCTCAGAGAGGCCACATGTCGCGTGAGCAACACCCGGACTGTCCAGCCGGAGCTGTTCCCTGCGACCAGCCAAAAAGAAAAGCTTCCCGCAACAAAAACAAGCAAACACCACATGCAAGATCCCGTCCAAGACAAGAGGTGTGGATAACAAATCTCTTCAACCGGAAAACTTAACTGCCTTGTCCGTTGCATACAGCACGTGGCATTGACGCCGCTTGCCTTTTTCTCTACACAATTCTGTCCGATGCAGCAGAAGTTCTCTTCTCCTCCTTCATGAGACATCTCTCCGAGACAAATCGATGAGGAACGAGCAACTTGGTCGATGAAAGGCATCCCGCTAAAGCATTTCGGAAACCTCGCAAGTCATGCAAGCCGCCTATCGAGCCGCTAATACGACGCGGAGCCGAAACTTCTTCACCTTAGCAAAGATACATACGAGTCATTTTGCTTCTCTTTTCACGGACACGACGCAGACAATTACCATCAACTCCACAACACACAAAGTATGTCGAAAATCAAATCGCTTTCATCATTTCATTTCCTAGCTGTCGCTCGCACCGCAATTAAACCCAACTCAGGGATGGCCACCCGACCGTGTCTGTGTTACTCCGTACGGGTACAACGTTCAAACTCGCCCCGATCCAACAAACTAGATGCCAAGGCCCGCCACGCCGTTATCAATAGGTTCACGCATGGACCATTTGCCGGAGTCTCTTCTCAATCTTCTGACGTCCATCCAACGTCTCCCACACGTTGTGAGGCGCGTCGTCGACCGTATCCCAATGCTTCAGGTTTCTCGTCAGATGGCTGAAATCTCTCTGCTTGTCCTCCCATTCGCTGTCCTTGCGAATGTTGACGCCGGAGCTGATGACCACCAGCGGGGTATTCGGGTACTGGATGGCCTTACTACTAATCACCTCGCGCTTGGTGAGTGAATCAGCCACGAGACTCTCCTGCAACTTTGAGAACAGGTACTTTCCACTCTGTCTGGCTGAACGACCCCAGACGCGGTCTGCGCTAGTGCGTCCACGGAAGATGGCGCCTGGCAGACGTTCGATTCCGAGAGGGGAGAAGACGCCACGAAGCCAGTAGAAGAAGCCTCTACCGGGGTCCGAAACCCGGTGAAGAAGGTCTTCGTGAAGCGGATCGATCAGAAGAAGGCCGTTTACTTCTCTGCCGTGTCGAGAGGAGAAGATTTGAGAGTAAACGGAACCAATTCCAGCGCTGGCAAGGATCCAAGGGCCCTTCTCACCAGCTCGTGCGAGAGCCTCGCTAAGGGCGTCAGTTGCCATGCCTGCTGACAGAGGGCTGGGGGCGGTATCGCTCCATCCGTAGCCCGGACGGTCGGCGAAGCAGTATCTTGAGATGGAGTCGTTCTTCAGAGCGTTTTGCGCAAACTGCCACAGTCCATTCTCGACTGGCAAGTCACCTCCCTCGAAGAAAACGGTAGGTAGCTTGTTGCCCGCGGCATCGGTGCCGTTCCCATCGCAGTAGACGTGAATGCGGTATTGGTCGCCATCGACCCAGTACTGCTCGCCCGGCGGGCCAAACCCGGCATCAAGAGATCGTAGAATCAGAGTGGCAGTGATAAGAATGATGATCAGAGACAGGACGACATAGGCCACCGTTGAGATGAGCACCTCGGTCCATTCCCAGACTGTGCGCCTCGTCTCAACGCGGCCAGTCAGCCTCTCCTCCTCTTCAGCTTTGCCCCATTTCACAGTTCGGTCACAGGCGAGTGCCCACAAGCTCACGACGAATGCCCCTGAGGGTGGCCTTGTCAGCAAAGGACCGGTCACATCAGATGCCAAACTCTCAACTTACAGACAACACTCGCAACTCCCACTCCAGCCTCTTCGTAACGGTTCTTCTGCACCGCAACAATGAGGATCATGTTGACAAGTAGCATGAGAGCCATAAAGATGGCCAGAACCCGGACAGCCTTGGACGGAGCCGCAAAGAACACGAGAGTAAACAGAAGCGTGAACAGTGCTACACTCGAATAGCTGAAGGCGTAAAATCCGGAACCGCGGGTGTGCATCCCAGGCGGCGTAACGAAGGAGGAAACCAAAGTCAGAGTCCACCACGTGAAAGTGAGTGCCGTGAAGAGAACAGTCACCCATCGCAGCAATCGCACCGTCCACAGGTTGTAAGGAGACACCGCCGGGTCATCGGGCGTCAAATACTGGCGGTTGTCGCTGTCGAGCCGGTTCGGTAGGAGCCGAGTGTGTTCATCGGGTTCCCGTGCCGCGTACTCATTCGAACCTCTCTCTTCCGGAGGACCAGGTCCATCACGGACCTCCTGATCGTCGTCCTTCTTGTTCCTCGAACCCCAAAGCGAAGACATGGCTGGCGTTTTGTGTCGTAGCTATCGTCGAAGGCCTGGACAACGGGGGGGATGTTCGCACCAAGTGGCACAAGTGATATGCGGCAGGGTATCTTTCGTAAATGCAACCTTGACCGAAAAGTACAGAAAACCGATGCAAAAAAGGAAGAATACGAGGGAGAGAAAGAGGGAGAAAGCTGGGAACTGGGGGACACACGTCCAAGTAAATGGCGGTAGACTGAAGCAGCTAAGACGAACGACCGTGGACTAGGCACTAATACCTACTTACATCCCGCTCACAGACGTCTCAATGACGGCAGGGGGGGCCCAGAGCTTCATCGAATCAATGCTGCAACCACCACTCACCAGAGGGCAGAGGCCAGAGCTTCCTGGTCATGTACGTCATCCTCTGCAATTGGGGGAACGCGACACACAGCGCTGTCACCGAATGCGGAAAGGTGGGGAAAACAACCACGGCGCTGGCGCCGTGAGGATCGCCGATTGGAAGGCCCCATTTTCCAGCAGTCCAGTCGGGGGAGCTGGCCACTGGTTACTGCTTCAGCACACTGCCCGTCCGAAATCTCCACACCCGAATCGGAGCTAAGCTCCGGCCTAGCGTGGGGGATTCACGAAGCGGTGGTAGCCAACGCGGGAGCGAGTTGGCGAGAAGCAAATGCTCGCGCCTCACTTTGGGCAGCGTGGAAAGAAACAGGGAATTCAACGTTGGTGGTGGTGACCCAGCCAGCTGCTCTTTGCTGTCCTGCAAATGCATCTGCATCTGCGAGTGCCAATGACAGTTTTCGGCTCCATACCTGAGCTAACACGAGCATCAAGTGGTGTCTCGGTGTTCGACTTGACCAACCAACCAACCGCATGCGATGGAGCTGTCACTCACGCAATCTTGACGGCTAGGCCTCCTCCACACCACTGGTGAATCCCATCGTGACTAAATCTCTCAATTGTCCCGCCCCAGTGTGCCCTACATGACTTCCGGCAAGTGTGTGGAGTTATGCCGCGATTGGGGACCGATATTGCGATACATTTTGTGACTGCCCCAATTTCCTGGCCCATGATTTCTCCAGATCTCCAAATAGGAACTATTCATCGTCAATGTCAAGTACGCATGTACCTTCAACATCCTCTGTGACCGTCACCAGCCGTCAACCATTGGGAACATTACGTTGGCATGTGAATTTGGCACTCAAGGAGCATAGTGGGAAATCTTCCGCTTTCATCAGACTATGGTGCTCTTATAGACAGTCGTTTCAGGCCCTCCATCCTGTGGCGCACAAACGGCCAACAAAGTTTGAAAATTCCACCGCAGCTTCTGTGACAGGCTCATTGCCGTGGCGTCTAGAAGCGGGTATAATGCAAACGCGATTCAAGCAAATCGTCATCATCTTTCAGTCGTTGTCTCGTTCATCAATCCACATACTCCCGCGTCTGCCTTGTCACAAATAAAGGCATGCCCCTTCCCCAATTTCAGCCTGTTGAGTATCACGCCTATGCCCATGGGGCAATAGGGTTGACCTCCCTGCTACCCGCCGAAGACTCAGATGAAACAGAGCCGGAGATTCTCTCGCAACCGCCATATGCTTGGCGAACCTGCTTTCGATTGGCAAACTTCTTCTTGGCAATCGTCTCGGGATCAGGCCCGCTGGAAGGCTTGATGGCCTCTTCGGGAATTGCTCCAATAGGAGCGTGCAGCTTTGCGCTGGCATCTGGGTCATTCATCGCGATCCCATGTTTGTGGTACTCTTGTTTCTTGAGCTGTTTCCAGTCTTGAGAGGACGGCTCGCCAGTACTGAACCAGTCTTTGAGCTGGCTCACCCAATGATGCTTGCCGTCTTTGGGTTTGGTCTTACCACTTCGTCTCTTCTTTGTAGGGCTTCCACTGACACTAACTGTAGAAGCGCTGTACTCTGATGTCTGAGAATGGTCGGAGAACATGCGTTTCGGAGGGGACATCCTCAAGTCCATCTCCGAGATTCTGCGTCTGAGACCCATCTCGTCGTCTGAGAGATCGAGCAAAGTTCCTGGATGGTTATCTTCTTCGTCTATCGCTAGTCCTATCCTATGAGGGGCAGTTCGCGTGTCGACTGTTGCTATTCCTGAGCTAGATGCCGGGCGAAGTGGGCTCGGCGGGCGTAGGTGGGTGGATGCAAGATCGACTGACTTGGCGAACTTGTGACCAAGAACAAAAGCGCGCTTCTGAGGAGACGCCTTCTTAGGTGAGCTTTCAAAGACAGCCTGAGCTGATGGATGAGTAGTTCGAGATCCAGTGAGAGAATCTCGGTCAGGATTCTGCGGCGCACTTCTATCGATTCGAGGCAGTCCTTCGGATTCAATGATCTTTTTGGTTCTCAGTGGTGTTGAGATTCCGAGGAGACTTCGCCGTTTCTTCTTCTTCTTCTCTGGAATCGGCCCCTAGCCGTAGACAAATGCCTCTGGACCAGTATCGGAAATGAAAGACTGCGAATCTGTCGAGGGTTCGATTTCTTCCTCCCGTATGGGTCTGTACGATGACGCCCAGTAGAACGGGGGCTCGATGAGGCCACTAGTTGTGGATGTTCGTGCTTCTCCAAAACCGGCAGGAGGTAGGTGAATACCCAGCTGTGCGGATGAAGAGATGGAGGGTCTCGACGGTGGTCGTAAGGCCGCGGTTGGGTATGAGAAATTCCGAATGGGAGGCGAAGGTGCTGGTGAGTCGAAGGGTGAAAGCAGGTCTTCTTGGATAGGTTGAGGCGGGTTCTTCTGCTTGTTTCGATGTCGATGGAAGAGCCGCATTGTTCGGTGAGAGAATAGACTAGTAAAACTGCTATTCAAACATTCGAAAAACACGCCCGAATTCCCCGAGATTTGCAGAAGAGACGCCAGACAGTATTCTTTGGTAGGTGAGGACGGACAGTGTCACACAATTTCCGTATAGGGCGAAGGTGAAGGTGGCTTGGAGGATATATATATGTGCGGAGAAGGCGAAAAAGAATGGTAGAGTTTGATAACAAGTATTCGAGGGCGAAGAAGTTGGGTGTTTTGGAACTGAGTGTTGAGAAATTTGTATGTTCAGTAAAGTTGAGGCCGTGTCAGAGAGGAGAGAAAGAAGAACTGGCGGGCGAGGAGTAGAAGTAGAAAAGATCAACAGAGAGAGAGAAAAGGACCTCGTGGCAGTAACGTGTAATTTGACGCCGGCCCAAAAGAAGCGGAATGGAAACAAGAGCATGGGACGGAAAGGTCTCAGAAGCCATGCATGCTCGCTCTTGTGCTCTTGCCCCGCTCGTGTTGATTACCTTCCACGCCTTCCCATGTTTTTCTTCAGGAAAGAGCAGGCGGATTGGCTTGGCCTGCACCTTCCATGCTTTCTTTTGGTGGATGCCATGCCTTGTCCCGCATGCCACCCCGGCGTTCAGCACCTCGTGCCCATTAGCTCCTGCCATGTTGAGGGCAGAAAGAGCGAGGCATCACGGACACCATCTACCCGACCCTGTCGATATGCCAGCCCTGCAATACGACTGGACGCCACATGTCACTAATCATACGCTAACGCCAACGTTGGCAAAGACTGTGCGGTAATCCATAAGAAACGACGTTTAGTATTCATTGTTAGGGCACCCTCACAAGATGAGTGACGTCTTCCCCGCCCGCTCTACTACTGCAGCATCGTTGAACTATGAGCAGAGCCCTTGCCTGAAGTTGTTCGAGGGCTGGGTCCATGCAAGGAATGGGACTTCCACCGTCGGACTCCTCGGTCGACCGTCGACCTAGTCATCCCTTGGTTAGGTGTCTCGTAGTGTCTCAGGAACCAAAACGCAAGACTGGCCCAGCAAAACCAACTGCTAGCCCTTCGACGGCGTGTCGTTTCGTCCTTTGTTGACCGTCTGAGATGGGGAATGTGGTGCTCTCAGCTTGAAAGCACGGCTAACCCAGCGGTATGGTACAGGGACCAAGATGCATCTCACACACTTTAGGCTTCCCGTATTGGGGCGCAGCATCCTTTGTCTACTGGCCAGCAGGTTGAGGGGGCCCGTTTGTGCGGTAGTTGGATGTTTTGAAGGAAGAAGAATGCACTGATGATCGCCAGAAAGAAATGAACCAAAATCTTCGCCGATTAGATTCAATATTGAAGACAGACCGAGTTCAAGCTAGATATTGGCGGGTCTTTTGCGACAAGTTTTCCTTATTCGGAGTTGTGGTACTGGGTCATATCAAGATTTCGATAGCGTGGGCTGTAAAATGGAAGAAGCAAGTTTTCTTGCTGCAGCCACAATCTGATGTATCACAGATTCAACTTGCCGCCCGCGGATTCCGTTCCTCGTTCCGGTGCACCAGATGTGCCCTCTCCTGCGTAAGGTAAAATATCACATCTTCTAGAGGCCGTCGAGCTTCTCACGAATCTAGGCAAGCTCGGAAATCTACCATGGGCTGTGCGGGAATACGGACGTACGGTAGAACAACGTTGGACGGATTCTCAGAAGCTCTGGCTGGATAGCTGAACTGCTAGACCTGAACCGCACCAGTGCTTTCGACGTCATTGCCAGATGATCGAGATTCGAGAATACGCTCTTTCGTTGGACGTGAACTCAATGCCCATGGAGTTTCTCTCCGGAAAGAGGTTCATCGTCGATTTCTGCATCGGCGACTCCCCTCACAATAGCGGCTGAACAGAAGTCTCGGGAGGACAGCCAATCAGTCCACCTCTACACTTCAGACCCTGACGAAAATGAATGGAGCACCTGGCACGTGCACGCTCTTTCTAAGATGTACATACGGATACCGAGTGCCTAGGTAGGTAAGGTAGTAAGGTACCGGTAGACCGTGCACTGCCTGCCTCCCGTCGGCGACGTGATTCCGATCTTGACAATCTTCTGCAGGCGCCCTGCTCCAATCGAGCTAGCCAGTGGCGAACCTGCATTTGAACGTCAACCTCGGAGCGCTGTTTCCATTTCCCTGTCTTGCATCCAACCTTTGACTTTGGAATCCGTTGAATGAATCGGGCGGGCCACACAAGTAGGTAGGATAATACTTCCAACAACATCAACAACAACACCAGCAAAGTCAACAAACAGAAACCGTCGCTTGGCGCACGCACTTTGAGTTCACCCAACTCCTACGTCCGTTGGCTTACGCAGCCCGCCCTGCGCCCTCATCGTCGAAAGTATCATATCACAACGCAGTTCCTCTCTAGAAGCCTCTCACGGGCACACAAGCCCACAGGCACCTGCTTGAGATCCTGACTTAAGCTGAATGCAGCCTTCCCTGCACGGCGCTAGTATCCGAAGCTGACAAACTTCCCGAGCCATCTGCACGCGCGGCGCACCAAACGCACGGTGCACATTCAGCTCCGATTGCACTCCCGTTCCCCCTCCTTCCCAACCCCACCACGAGACGAAACACATTCCAACTTTCAACCTTCGATTCTCCCGCTCACACACCCAGGCGCCGACCACAAGAAAACAAACCAAGAAGCACCGCTGCTCCCGAGAGCGAGCCGCAAGCCTTCTCCCAACTATGCCCGGACTCACGATACAAACAGACGCGATCTCACCGCGCACATCGAGTGCGCCGGCACCCGCGCCATCTACGTCTGCGGCTGCTGGTCCGACTGCTGCCACAACCTCTTCGGCAGGCGGAACAAACCCACCACATGCGCAGCAGACCCCTCCGCGATCCTCTCGCTCCTCATCCCCCGCCCGGCCCCCCATCAGCCCCATAACCCCGACCCTACCCCCGGCCCGTCTGCCGGACCCTCCCGCCCCTTTCGCTGCCGACCGCCCTGTCCTCACCCACTCTTCCCAGCCGTCCGCCGCTACCGCCATCCCCCCTCCGCGTCCCGAACCCATCGACTTTGATTCCAACCCCGATGTCCTCGCCCTCAAGTCAGCCATCTCCATCCTCCAGATGCAATCGAGAAAGGCCGCCGCCGATATCCAAGGGCTCAACGCCGCAAAGAACGCCGCCGTAGAAAACCCGTCAGCTTTCCTCGCCGACCTCGGCGCAGGCAAAGTACACACGCAAGGCGACAAGCTGTTTGCTGAGTCTGATTCGGACTCAGACGACGAGACAGAGGGCAAAGCAGATGGGAGTGCCGCGCAAGGCAAGGCGAAGGAACCGCCACAGCCGTGGGCGTCACTTCCTAAGCCCCAGAACGTGGTGCGCTGTCCGCCCATCAACTGGTCACAATATGCCGTCGTCGGCGAGTCTCTCGACAAGATTCATGCGGACCAGCTGGCCAGACCAAGCCAAGGCGCTCCGGCAACGTTAGGACCCAGCGGGACATACGAGTTCAAAGGGGAGCCCGGAGGTAACCAGAGACCCTTTATCGGCGTCGCGGCCCCTTACACACCTGGGAAGGACAGGATCGAGAAGAAGGCAAGGGGAAGCAAGCGATGAGACGTGACGTTTCTTCCGTCCGAAAGATTTGAGAAAAGCCGGTTGAGGCAAGGTTGCCGGAACAAACATCCCGGGAATGGATGTATGATTGATGCTTTTCTACTGAGGTCATGAGATTACGAGGCGTTAAGCATGAATAGGGTGCATGGAAAGGAAGGCGTTTTGATGTGTTAAGCCAGGGCCATATTTTCATTTCGAGTCTGAAGAAGAAAAAGAAGAAGAAAAACAACGATATCAACTTTCGAACGTAGCTACTTTCGTCGCGTCGTTATCCGAGGTATCTACTGGAGTCTAGCGGGACAATCCCAAGCCCGTTCCTGAATATGCATGATTCCTATGCCGTTAACGCCGTCCAGCCCTCTGAAAGCAACTTGAACTTGGACAAGCCAAGATCAATTTTCACTACCATCCCCGTCATGACCGGGGAAACCGATAACCGGAAAAATGTCCACCTTTGGTACCGCGTTGGTCGCGTGGTGAACACCCGCGCACCCGTGGTGATGTGCCTTAGCCTAAAGGTGGTCATGAGAAGCAATATCAAAAGTCACTGAAAAGTTTAGCTTAGAAACGTAGGGCAAGATTCCGAGAGCGACTTACTCCATGCTCTGCTGCACAGATCTACGAAGCCGCCTGTTGTAGTTCTTCCGCGCCTCGGCACCTCCCCAGTAGAGGGTGTGCGCCTCAGGGTGTACCAAAGTTCGAGGGTCGTAAGCCGGATCTTCTTCTTCCAGTGCCGTAAACACAGCCTCGATGTGAGTTCGAACGTCCTCCTTCCTAAGTGAGTTCGGGAAATAGCACACTGTCCCGTCTTCTGCAATGCGATGGTGGAAAATGCGTGTGTGAAACTTGACTCGAGGTTGCTCCTCGGGGAACTTAGTACTGAAGTGGATTTTGAAGCGGAATAGGCCACCGTCGAGGTTCGTCATTGGACGCCCGAAATAGGTGATGATCCAAACGAAAGGATTGTTGTCCTCTAACTGGACGTCGTGAGGAATGTCTTGACGTTTGAATGCCTGCACCACTTGTTCATACTGGTGGCGCAAGTTGACGGAAAGTGTCATTTCCTTTTCGATCGCAACCTCGCCATCCTTCGCCCACTTGACGAGCTCATTGTCAAGCGCGGCCTTGACATTCCGCAGACGTCTTTCCAATTCTGTGTAGTTGAACTTGCCATCCATGGTGTTGCTAGCACCTTCAAACGGCATGCGAACAAACGCCTGGTGGTCCTTGACCTCGGTCTTTGCCTTCTGCACAGCAAGGAGGTAATTGTCGTAGTACCATAGGAACCGGCGCTTACATAAATCCTTAAAAGGCTCGAAAGGAACGTTCGTATCGTCGATATCATCGTTGTCGATATCCAGTTGATCTCCGTCCGCCGCAGACTGTTGGGCAATAGCGTTGCCGTCGGGTGTGAGACCAAGGTATTCCTCCATACGCTGGATGACGGAGACTCGAAGTGTTTCGTGACGTATCTAGAGCAATAATTAGTTATATTGTCTCTCATCATCCCCACACACCAGCGAGTCAATTCACCTTCTGGACGTAGTCCTTCTGGTTCTTCTTATCCGATGCTTCGTTGGCCTCCTCGAATCCAGGCTCGTTCTCGTAAGGGTTTCCGGACATTAAGCTCTGGATTGAAATGAGGATAGATTCGAGGCCCTGTGCCGCAGACCATTCCTCTCCACGCTCTCCACGCCATGTGCTAGGTCCTGTTAGTCAAAAGTCCCTTGGCAAATCCCATGCGCCTGGCTATACCCGAGGATGGACCTGCAACACACGTTAGTGCTCTTTGCTACTGAATACTCCATTGTGGGAGGTAAACCTACAAGCAAACCTTGCCAGACGAGTAGATGTTGGGGTTGAATCGGCATCGACCTCCGTTCGTTGTAATACCGTTGACATTGGGCGACTTCCTAGGGTAATCTACATTTGCGTCAGTCCAACCCACCCATAATTGCCACATTATAGTAGAAGTGTACCCTTGTTGAATCTGATCGCAAACTACTTTCCCGTTAGTACTGCGAGCAAATCGGGCACTTTCACATCAAATCGGTACCTCAAAGAACCCAAACTCGTACGGAGTGTCGTGAGGTCCGATGATCAAGGCCTTAACATTGCGAACATCGACATCACGACAAGCAACAGCTATGGCTGGCAAGGAGGTCAGCATGTGGGCTCGACTGTGTTCGCGGGGAGGCTCGTACAAAGATCCGAGGTTCGCTGGATGTCGCCGAGTTCCTGTTGTGCGATCAAATGTCAGCCTTGCCATTCTTGCCCCTCCTTCATCGCTCTGGTGAGGGGCGGGGCAGCTAAGGTACCTTGGTAATCCGAATGATGGATTGATCCGCCATGATGCCAGTTGGGTCAGGCACTGCCCCTTGACAGTCAGTGAGCGTGCTTTGGCAGAAGCTTGGTTGTAGGCAGTGATCGTAGATTCTCCTTGACGTGGGGTAGGTAGTTGATGGAGAATCGAAGATGTGAGTGCGGCCTGAGAGCCTGGGAGGAAGGTAGATGTCTGGTCAGTAAGGCGCTCTCTGCGACCGGGCAGATGCAACTTGAGGTGGGTTCTGTTGCTTGGTTGGCGGTCGAAAACCAGGGTAGGGAGGTGGATAGGCACTACCACAGGCTACCTTAATGCTGCTCGGGCTGGTAGAAGTACAAGTTCTGGGCGGTAAGGGCTCACCCCAGTTGATGGGACACTGGGACGAGGCAGCTGCACCAAGTGCCTAAACTGGCAGTTTGGCGGGGCAGGAGGGGTAATTTTAGGGTGCGTTGATGCAGGTGAATCGCAGCGTTATTGTATGGTGAAGAGGCCTCTTTGAACTTCACAACTAAGAACCCCTTTCAAGCCCCACAGCGTAAAGCGGTGCTTTCATTGACGCGAAATTTGAGAAATGCGACGGAGCAACAAAATGGAGAAATGCCCATAGGATATCTTCTTACCTCAGCCTTGAATGAGATGTGGCTGAATGAGATACTTGATGTCACACAGTCACCTCTACTAAACAGAGCCTGCTTTACCTGGAGAAGTATTGATGACAGTAGCTGAGGTGTGGCACTTGCTTTAGGCGGTGTTCACTATATTTGTCAAAACGATCCCTTGCCGCTCCTAACCGCTCAAAGGTCGCCTCTGACCAGGTCTGAGTCCTAGTCATCTGGGTAAGGTCTTACTCGAAATCTTACATCGGATGCCATCGGGTTCTATATCGGATAGTGCTTCCTTCCCCCCTTATGATATCATTATCTTACGTGTGGCCCAAGCAGTTTCTAAGGAAACAGTAGTATACCCCTTCCACCGTACAATCATGCTTGAGAAAACGAGAACGCGATGACCAGCTTGCTTCTCGTATAGGAACCCTTTACGCCCATTTGCCCATCTGGACCTTCGTACTGTTCACATTCTCAGCCAATGAGCGATTTTTCTTTGATTGAACAAAGTGAGCCGTTGAATGAAATGAACTAAAGACAAACTCACAATGAACAGAAGTAGAGCACTGTGAAAGAAGTGATGTTATGGTCGCTTTCTTGACAAGTGTAAGATAGTTTCAACATTGCACTGAGTACCTATCCCGGACTGGAGAGCTTTCGGTACGTATCTCATGTAAGGTTCCGAGGGTACCTCGAAAGTGGGACGGTCGCGGGGTTCCGTCGACGCGGTGGGTTTACACCCCTGTCGGTTAAGAAAGCTCCAATACGCGTCAAATCGACTGGGCAGCGCGTCTGACAGTTTAATTGATTTTCTACGATCGTCACTACCGCCACACACCTGAGGTGCAGAGAAGAGCTACGATTGATAGAACAGGACAAGATAGCACGACCTGCAACGTTAAACCTCCAATTGATATAACGATCAATTACACATGGCGAGCTTTTTCGACCTCAAGGCCAGGAAGGCCGCCGCGGCAAACGGCACATCGACCCAGAAGCCAGAGAAATCTGCGCAACCGCCACGAGCACAGCCATGGGTTGAGAAATAGTTTGTCTTCCCACGAACTTGCTAGAAGTCATACGCGTTCTCACTCACCATACTGACGTTTACCGACAGCCGTCCCAAGACTCTCAGCGATGTCACAGCACAAGACCACACCGTCACGGTTTTGCAGAGGACGCTGCAAGCCTCCAACGTACGACTGCTCCCTGATGCATTGAGGCATTGCTAACCCCGAGACGCAGTTGCCGCACATGTTATTCTACGGCCCCCCAGGCACAGGAAAGACCTCTACAGTGTTAGCTTTGGCCAAAGAACTCTACGGTCCCGAGATGATCAAGTCACGCGTGCTCGAGCTCAACGCTTCCGACGAGCGTGGAATCTCCATCGTCCGAGAGAAGGTGAAGGACTTTGCTCGCATGCAATTGACGAACCCGACGAATGAATACAAGAAGAGATACCCTTGCCCGCCATTCAAGATTATCATCTTGGACGAGGCCGACTCCATGACCCAAGACGCACAGAGTGCCTTGCGCCGCACCATGGAGACATACAGCAAAATCACGCGGTTCTGCCTGATTTGCAATTACGTCACGCGAATCATCGACCCCCTTGCTAGTCGTTGCAGCAAGTTTCGCTTCAAGAGCTTAGACCAGACCAACACGAAGAAGAGACTGGAGGATATCTCAGAAAACGAGGGCGTACAGCTGGAGGAAGGCGCAGTGGACGCCCTCATCAAGTGCAGTGAGGGCGATCTGAGAAAGGCTATCACATTCCTGCAGAGTGCTGCGCGACTAGTGGGCGCGGGCGAGAAAGACGCCGCCGGGGGTGATGCTATGGACGTCGACAAAAAGCCCGTCACGGTGAAGATTATTGAAGATATCGCTGGTGTCATTCCGGACAAGACCATCGACACATTAGTCTCTGCCATCCGCCCGCAAGGCGCTGCAGACACGTACGCAGGGGTGGCCGAGGTGGTCGAGGACATGGTGGCAGATGGCTGGAGTGCTGGGCAGGTTGTTACTCAGGTGAGCTACCCCCCAATATTTGACTGCTCGTCGCGTTGCTAACAGTTTTCCAGCTCTACCAAGCACTCGTATTTGACGAGACTATCCCAGATGTACAGAAGAACAAGATTGTTCTCATCTTTTCCGAGGTCGACAAAAGACTTGTGGATGGCGCGGATGAGCACTTGTCTATCCTCGATTTGGCCTTGAGGATATCGGGGGTTATGAGCGGTCGTGTCAACTGATCAGTACTCATATTGGGTCATGGGCTTGGTCAACACTAAGCGGCGTCCGGGTTGGCAAATTAGAGGCGTTGATAATGGCAAACAAAATCCATCTATGAGGGGTATGTAACAACTGCACAGAAAATCAAATATGATCTTCATGACCGATGAGACCGAGCTTCCCATCAATGACAGACCAAATATCGTCATGCGTAATCGTGGATCCCTTACTCTGGTGTCTGATGTGCTGCCTCGTCCCCGTCTTATGTTCTGACCCTTGCGTCAACCATATGTCTTCCTCCGTCGTGTCTCCCGCCTCCATCTCGGCCTGTTTCGGCTCGTGACCTAGGAGCTTGTCAATTTCCTGAAGCGCCGTTGTAGAGCCTTCCAGTGCGACCTGGCCCTCCTCAATCTTCTCCGCAACAGTCTCCAACGTCGCAATCTTGGCCGAGTCTGCTGCGAACACCCAGGGCTTGACTCGGTCTGAAGGCACTGGCTTCTCAGCCATGGCTGTGGAGAAGTCCTCTCCGAATCCTGACTTGGGTCTGCCCGCCCCAGGCATAGGATGTCCCGGAAGAAGCTGACTTTCTTCAGCGAGATGATCCAGCGCCTGTCGAGTTTCCCTCGCCTGCTTAGCTAGAACATTGTGGATGTGCGATTTCTGTGTGATCATCCCCTTCTGTTCTCGAGAAAGCGAGAGAAGCTTCTCGAGGTAAGGTAAGAGAAGGTGCATAGTGGGTGCTGGGGGGATGGGCTGGCTTCGGCCGTTTGAAGATGAGACGTCACCGCCAGGCTTCAGGACTGATTGCGTCTGCTCTGAGACGATGTTGAGCAGCGCTTTCCTCGAAGCTACATATTTGCTGTATTTGCTCTTGATATCGCCCAGATGCTCGTCGATAGTGGCTTGTTCGGTATGGCCGTTGTATCCATTTGCCTGGTCGTCTGCTTCTCCCGAGGCCTTACTGAGCTCCGTCTCAATCCAGTTGATCAATTCAGCTCGAGTAGCATCCAGAGCATGCGCCTTGGCCTCGTCGCTAACTTGGCCTGCCAGTGATGCTGTGTTTTGTCGAACACCGTTAAGGAGTTGCTCTTCACGCTGAAGCAGAAGCTTGGCTCTCAGCACGACTTTTTCGAGCTGATCAGCTAGACCTCCTAGGTTTGTCTTCGTTGCACTGGCGCTAACAGAAAAGCCGTTCACAACCTCTTTTGGAACTTCTGGCAAGGACATTGACTTTCTGAAAATATCTTCCAGGTCGAGAAAGTCTGGTGATGCTGCGGGCTGGCGTCCCAAAAGGTCCAAGTACTTTTGAATCGTCAACAGTCGCTGTTGCTTCTGGCGTAGTTTGACAAGGGCCACATGTTGCTCAATCTGATCCCCAGGGTCGGCAGCCTTGGGCCGGGATGGGGCTGCCGTTACCGCTGCATCCCGCGTGATCTCGTACTCATTGCGAGCCTTGAGGTTCGCATTCAAGGCTTTGAGGTATTCCTTCTGTAAGCCTCTGACCTCACTTGTTGGCCTCACTCTGCAAGAAGCATCAACGAGAGATAATGGCTCCTGAATGGGCCCTGGTTGACGGCAGGCCTGAAGATGGAGGGCCAAGGCGCGCCGGATGTACGCTACCTGCTCCCGTGGTTTGACGTAAGGTTCAAGTGATGCCTGAACCTTTTGAATGGATTTGGGAACTGGATCCATGTCGCAGAAAGCCTCAGTTTATGCCATAGAGAATGTTCCAGTCGTGCCAAGGTAGGATGTTTCCGCCACATCAAAATTTGGCCTCAATCCTGCTTCACGTGTAAATGTTGATGGATGCTGGTACCGTGATTTACACAGCTCGGTGGTTCAGGGGTGGTGTGGATTTCTTGGGTATCGCTACTCCACCCTGTGTCGATGCAGTGACAGGTTGACGCCACGACGTCACGTGCAGCTATCTGCCTGAGCTGGAGTGCTACTAGCGCGTTTGCCGCCTAGCGCCATCTCCCGGGTTTTGCCATTGCAACCAGCAGATGAAATTTGTTTCGCGCGACAGGCGTCGAGACATCTATTACACGCCTCCACCCACCTTAGCCACATCGCGATACTGTTCTCATTGAGTCACTTGAACTTCGGGAACATACCAAAACGATACTGTAATATTTGACGAATCATCAATTTCAAGGTCAACACGGCGTTATAAACGGAATAAAGACACGGC